TGTTAGATTCAAGTGCTCTTGTTGTAAAGGTTTGTCAAGCACCTTGAAGCTTGGTGGTTTAGTGGACATCTCAATTGCGATTGAGAAGAGTGGACGTAGGCAAAGAAATTGTGCCGAACCACTATATATCATTGTGTATTATCTCTCTCAACTCAAACTCATTTATATTCTTGTTATTTATATTTATATTTATACAAGTGTTTTGGAAAGTACAAGATCCTTGTAAGTACTTAAAAATTGACTTAAGCCCTTGGAAAAATACTAGTACAAGCATTTGAGTCATTTAAATTCAAAGTAATTTAAGCTTTCGCGAAAAATATTAATTGTTGTTAAAATACTCAATTCACCCCTCTTGAATATCCGTGCTACTTGACTTTATAAAAAATTTATAAGAATTCCTCTACTTCCTTCCAATTTCTCTCTATGTTGCTTGGGAGGAAAAAAATTTTATGTAAGATCCACCATTATTTTATTAATATCATGTTATTTCTCCTTCATTTCTTTAACAATCAAACAACACCATTTTATTTTTTCCTTTTATTTTTCCTTCTATTTCTCTCTCTCATGTTCATTTTCATTCAACTTCATTCCAAACAAACAAAGCATTAATGTGTTAAAATTAAGACGCCGACCGTTGGGCTCAAACCCACGACCACAAGGTTAGGAGCCTTTGCTCTCTCTACCAACTAAGCTAGAGGGGCTCGATAAATAGTTAATCCATATTAAATCCAAAACAAAAATATCTGAAAATCTCACTTTATTAAGACTGAGTCTTATTTTTTGAAAAGTGAAAACTAGGGTGGTAACAGGAATTCTATCCGCGGGTATTCAACCCAATTTCATCCGCTCGAATCGGGTTGCCAACCCTACTCACAGCGGAGCAGTTTGAGTGCGGAACGGATTTACTTGCGGGTAAGATAGGGTTAAGGTTTAGACTCAATCCTACCCGCCCAACACACACCCCATATATAATACATCATTTTATGAAAAAAATATTAGTGCTAAGAATAGAATATATATTTTTTATTTATACGAAAACACTTTAATCACTTTGCTATCATTTTTAATTGGAATTTTTATACATTGAAAATTTGTAAAGCATTTTTCAATTATTTACATGTATAAATATAGAATCGAACAACTTTATGATTATGTTGTTTGTGATTTGATTGTGTTGTTTGAGTTGTACTTTAAGTTCTATACTTCATATATTATGATTTTTTTAAAAAAATTATAATTATGTTTGTAATTATTTAATTTGCTATTTTTTTTCTCAACTCGCGGGTAGGATTGGATACGGATTGAGCGGGTTAGGGTTGGGGGTTTTCAACCAGCAGATAGGATAAAATTGAATTTTAGATGAAAAATTAACCCACGAATAGAGTTAGGGTTGGGACTAAATTCTATCCTACCCTATTCATTATTGGCAGACCTAGTGAAAACATGAAACTTTAATGGGTTAAGAAGATCATCTTGGCCGATGTATGGTTTCTTCTTGGTGAACACTAGCTTTACTCAAAAGCAAATTAAATAGATATAGTACAAGCTAAGCAATAGTGTAAAATTTTAAATCATAAAAAACAAATATGATTATTGGAATCAATCAATTAAATTAGAAAAGTCAAAATTATAAATAAATAAACATACACATACATACCACAAAGTTGGGTTGGAATCCATAGGAGGGTGATGAGTATGATGTTGATGAAGATGAGTAAGAAAATGATGATGATGATGAGTAGTATGGTATTTGCACTCTTGGATCTTCCTACATATGTTCATCATAAAATTATTGTCAATTAAGTCAAATAAATAATTAAATAAATAAATAAACCTTGTTCTATTAATTATATAATTAATTGAAAAAATAAACAAATAAATTTAATGATGAAGCTAGGGGTTAAGTCTTACATTAGAGAAATTAGAGGGGTAATTAGATGGATGATGATGATGAAGAGAAGGGTGATTAGGATTGTAAGTAGAAGCAATTTCACCATGTAATCTAATCTTTTCTAATTGAGCAACACCAAGTCCTCTTTGTGGTTGCTTTGGTTTCTTCACTTGGTTGGTACCAGTTTTAACACTGCACTACACTAATTGCATGCGATCAAGCAATCCCAGCTTGCAATGTAACCCAGAAAAGTGGCAGGAGGCAGAGGTTTTGTGAGAAGATCTGCCACTTGGTCTTTGGTTGAAATAGGAAGAAGATGAATTAAACCCTCCATGAATTCTTAGGATTAATGTTAATAATATTACCATTTAGAATTCTTAGGATGAATATAAATATTATTAATTTAATGAAAACAATAAAATTAATTTCTTTTATTAATATATGTATCATAAATATATTAATAATATATGTACTGACACATTAATGGTAAAATATATCAAAATAAAAAATAACAAAATAGTAAGATTAGTATTATTATTATTATTAAACATTTGCTGCTGCAAGCAAAATTTAAGGGGCAAAATCCACTTTTTTGTCTGCTAATTTAGTATCAAAACAAGAGGGGGCTCCCATTCGTTTTATAAAATAACATCTTTTCTTGTAATATTTTATTTGATCATATCAAGATTATAATGTTGTTTATATATTGGCGGGCTTAGTGTTGAAAGCATGGGATGGGTCACCTCTCAAAATGCTTTTAATATACTAAAAGATTTTTGTTGATCATATTGACTTTTTAAAAAATACGATTTTAAGTTAAATTAATTATTTTGTCAATTAAATAACAATATATTATGTTTAAGTATTATGTATCATAAAATAATTAAATAATATGTGATTTTAATAACATATCAATCAATTAGTTTGTAAATGTTATCTAATGGAGACAAAAGGACGACAAGAAAATAGTGAGAATGCTACAAGGTGAAAAGAATTCAAGTTGAGAAATGAGAATGATGAGAAATACGGGCAATAGTATGATACAGTGGCTACAAGACATCTCATTGCAATATGGGCAACCCTCCACCTTTATATACAAGAACTTTTGGGAGAAGGAGGGGTCACAAAGATGGATCTATTGGAAAGATAATTGATGTGTGATCGGGTCATAGAGCATGAGAAGGTAATTATGCATGAAGCACCCCATGAGAACATATTTCTTTTCTTCTTTGTCATTTGTTTTTGTGTTGTCATTTGTTTTGAATGGTTTGATAGTTGAGCTTTTTCATTCTTATGTTGTGGACTTGGATGGTGGGGGTAGTTATCTTTGATGAT